CTCTAAAATCTCCTCCTTTAATGTTAACAGAGTCACTACAGCTTCCTTTGGATTAATGATAACTTTTTCACCCTATAACTTCTATTTCTGTGTTATATTTAAGAGTTTCATTTAAGCTGCATATACTTGGGTCATTTTAATCCATTGTGACATCTGCATTTCGGGGATGTTTAGACTATTTTATGATTCCATTTTCTTTCCTTTGGTGGCTTACTGGCTGCAGCTCTCGTTATTTTCATCGCTGGGATCTATAGTGTCCATCTGCCTTACCCTAGTCTGTCTTCGAGTGATAGTACACCACTTTACAGGGTGTTAAAGCCTTGCAACAGTCTGCTTCAATTTCTCCCCTCCTGGCCTTTTAAAAAAGATTGAAATAATAAGAAGTCCTATCTGTTCACCCTCGTGGTCGGTATTTCTGGTGCTCTTCATTTCCTTGCACGTGTTCACGTTTTTGTCTGGTGTCATTTCCCTGAATGCCTGAAGGACATCCTGTAGCATTTCTGCCCTCTTCTCTCCATCTGGACCTGTCCCCGTCCTGATCTTAATAGCCCTCATCTCTCTCTCTCTCGAACCTCGTATCAGCCTTTGAGAGCAGCCTCCCTGCCTGTCCTTCTACCCCATCCCATTTTCTACACAGCCATAAAAATGCCCCTCTTTTTGTAACATAACACATCACATTATGCCCCTGCTTGGCGTTCTCTGCTTACTTCCCATTGCTCTTGCAGTAAAATCCAAACTCTCTATCTTGCTCTGTGAAAGTGCCCCATGATCTAGCCCCTGCCAGTCTCCCCAGCCTTACCCCATGCCTTCTCCCCTTCACTCCCAGCATTGCCTCCTCAACCGGCCTTCTGACCTTTCCTGAGCAACACCAAGCAGTGTCTCCTCCCCAGAAGTCCATCCCCTAGGGTAACACATCCTTCCCCTGGCTCCTCACCATCCTTCTTATCAGCTCCTCCTCATATTTTCCCTTAAATAGCATCTCCCCAAAGAGCCTTTACTGACCCCCTATCTGAAGCAGTGCATGTGTGGGCACCCATCCTTCTCTTCATAGCCCAGACCCTCATTCCACCATTTATTTTAAGGCTGAACCCAAGGCCTTCTGTATACTATCATGCTGGTTGCACGCTGCACACTCTAGGGGGCACCATTTGCCTGTGTATCCTTATAGGTTTTAATATTTCTTAATGACAGTTTCCCAGAAGATGGCAGTGCAGAGTCATGAAGATAGGATGCCTTTTTTTTTTTTTTTTTGCACAAAGGTAGAATTTCTAACTTGCATTTAGGATAGTGGCTTTTTTAACTTCTTTATTTTCTGAAACATCAAGGTCATTTTTCCCTCTGGGTTCCAGCCTTATCCTCTAAACTTTCCTTTTTTCTATTTTTTAATATTTTGAACTTTTAGAAGAACTGAAAGCATAGTTCAGAAATTCCTGTATAACTTTCACTCCGCTTTACTAGTTCCACCGCTCATTTGTCCTGGTTGGTGGCTTGTGTGTTGCTGTGAGGCTGGAAACTGTGCCGCAGGATCTCAGCTCCCAGACGGTCACCCACGATGGACAGTTTCCAGCAGAGCTTCTAGGCTGAGAACTTCTGAGAGTGAAGAATTGAAGCACTTCCTGATGGAGACCAAAACTACAGCCTTCAGCAGGGACCCCACTCGTCATAAATCCCCACAGCTAGACCAACGAGCAACTTCGTGATAAATGGAGAAAGGACTGAAGTTGTCGAAGATCTCGTTTCACTTGAATTTACTGTCCGCATCTGCAGAAGGAGCGGTCGAGAAATGCACCACACTGCGCTGGGCAGGTGTGCAGCACGGCCCTCTTTAAAGTGTTAGAGGGCAAAGGTGTCACTTTGCAAACTAAAGTGTGCCTGACCCAAGCAAGCCATGCATGTGAAAGCTGGCCAGTGAATAAGGAAGACCAAAGAAGAATTGATCCCTTTGAGTTGTGCTGGTGTGGAACATTGACACACCATGGACTTCAGAACAAGGAGCAGAGCTATCCTGGAAGAAGTGCAGCCAGAATGCTCCTTAGAAGCAAGAATGGCCAGACTTCATCTCTCCTACTTTGGTTGTGTTGTCAGAAGGGACTGGTCCCTGGAGAAAGGCTATCATGGCTGGTAAAGTGGAGGGTCAGAGAAAAAGGGAGAAACCCTTAATGAGATGGATCAACTCAGTGATGCAGCGATGGGCACAAGCATAGCAAGGACTGAAGATGGTGCAGGAGTGGGGGGCGTTTCGTTCTTGGGGTCACTGAGTCGGAGCCGGCTTCACAGCCCCTGGCAGCAACAGTTCACTGCATTGTTAGCCCTCGGCCACATTTGCTTTAGGTCTCCCTTGCTCTCCACCCGTTACCATTCAGTCTGTTCCAGGTCCTGTCAGCTCTGGGACAGACTGGAGCTGCCCTGTGGGATTTCAAAGGCTGTAATCTGTAGGAGCAGATCGCCAGGCCTTCTCTCATGAGGAACCACTGGTGGGTTCAAACCACTAGCCTTTTGTTTGGCAGCCCAGCACTTACCCACTGTGGCCCCAGGACTCCCGTTTCTCTCTATAGACAGATAACGGGCTTTTCCTTAACCGTTTGAAAGGTGGTTGCAAACATCCTGCTTTTCTACTCCCAGATACTTTGGGGGTGTGTTTCCTTTGAGTAAGGACTACCTTTGTGGATTGTCATAAAACCACATGAGGCTTGTTAGATTTAGGAAGTTTGACATTAATCCAGTTATCTATTGTATTTTTTACAGATTCAGATTTTGCCGTTTGTCCCAATGTGCTTTGTAGCTGGTTTTACCTCCCTTCCCCAGGGTCAAAAGGAGCCCTGGTGGCATGGCGGCTCAGCTGCTAACTGAAAGGTCGGTGGTTTGAACCCACTGGCCACTCTAAGGAGAAATGTGGCAGTCTGTTTCCATTAAGTTTAAAAAAAAAAAAAACCTGTCCAATGGCTCTGTTGTGCTCTGTGGTGTCACTAGGGGTCAGAACCGGTTTGACGGGAATGGGTTTGGTTTTCAGTCACCACGATCCAGTCCAGGATCATACTTTGTGTTTAGTTGTCAAGTCTCCTTAGTCTTCTTTAATCTGAAAGAATTCTTTAGTCTTTCTTTATCTTCTGCATCGTTGCTGTTTTTGAAGAATTCGCGTGATTCGATTCAGTTTATGTTTTTGGCAGGAACAGTGTAGAAGTAATGGTGTGTGTTTGCCCCGTTCCTGGCGAGGCCGAGCCTCGCAGCATCCTACACTGAACCCATCCGTCTCGGGAACGCTGACTTGTGTGCGCTGGGCCCGGGACTGTAGGAGTCCTGCTTGGGGTTGACTCTTGAGTAGCTGCGCTCCCTCCTCCTGGACTTGGCTGCCGTCAGCTGAACCTGAGTGGCTCCCTGAGTCCTCTCCTTTGAGCGTTGCTCCCTCGGAGGTGCAGCTCCCCACGGGGAATTGTAAGACCTTTCCTTTCTCAGTACATCTCCTTCCGCAGCTGACATCGCTGACCTAGTGATGATTTCCTATGGCTCTAGCAAGGTTCCACTTCAGAGAAGCGGTTTCAGGAGAGTTGGAGAGCCGACTGTGGGGAGTAACTGAGTGTCATCAGGTGGACTTTAGTCAGACTCAGGTTCTTGTACTCCCAAGCCCAGTCCTCCAGGCTGAGTTTGCATTGATTTTAGTTAAAATGTGAGGGGTGACTGTGTGCCGTGGAGAATGCCAAGCACTTGAAGTGCGTTTCAGCCTTGTGTGTTCCTTAGAACAGCTCCAGGATGTTTAGCCTGTTGTCTTCATTTGATAGACCAGGAATCTGAGGCTTACAAAGGTTGAGGTCTTACAGTTCAAAGTGACCAGGTCTTGCAGCTCCCAGCCCACCATGGTTCTTCATTGGAAACCCAGAGCACAGAAGCAGCTCACAGGAATGCAGTTGGCTTTTGCAAGATTGAAATGCAAATGGCAGTGCCATTGCTATTGGTGATTAGTGTCAGCCATCACCCAGAGTTTTCTAAGTACCTTTAAGTAGAAGAGCTTACATTTTTCCAATTTGGGTGTCCCTAGCCTCTGGTAGCACAGTGGCTAAGGCACTTGACTGCTAACCAGAAGGCTGGCGGTTCAAACCTACCAGCCACTCTGCGGAAGGAAGATGGGGCAATCTACTTCCTTAGTGATACTGCCCCGGAAACCCAAGGAGGGGTCGCTATGAGTTGGGTCTGACTCGACGGCACATAACAACAAAAACAGACATATGAACTGGCTGCCTGGGACAGTCCTGTTTTCTGCCCTAGTTCCTAATAGTGCTCCATTCACTTCAAAAGCATTATGTTTTGGCTGTTGTATGGTCATCCTACCCATAATCCTCCTGAGTTGTCTTCAGATTAATGTAGAGACCAGTGTTTCATTGTAACTAGCACAAGGCTTGGTCTGTTTTCAGTCACCACTCTGTCTCCTGCCCCCCGTTTATACCTTCCAGGTGTGCTTTGGGTTTGTCTTCTGTTGGCCTCACTAAGTGACAAGATGGCTTGTTAATTTAACCATCAGAAAGATTTTGCCACGTGTGCATTATCGTGCTTTCTGCTGAAATGTTTTAAAGTAAACGACACTCGGCCCCAATGTACTTGTTGTTATGTGCTGTCAAGTCGGACCCGACTCATAGTGACCCCTCCTTGGGTTTCCGAGGCAGTATCACTATGGAAGTAGATTGCCCCATCTTCCTTCTGAGGAGTGGCTGGTAGGTTTGAACCACCAGCCTTCTGTTTAGCAGCAAAGTGCCTTAGGCACTATGCTACCAGAACTCCCATGCACTTGAATAGCCATCTCTAAAAAATTAAATTCTTAAGTTTTTAGAAACCTGTCCTGAAACCGAATCTGTGTAGCAGGGGAACATGCTGGCAGTGTGAAACATCACCCTGACATAATTTTATGTTCATTTATCAGATGTTCTTAAAGTAGTGTGTGCTGTAATTGCTTGTCACAGGATTGCAGGGCTTATGGGTGTTCTTACAACGTATGTTCCTTTTCTCGGCAGTGCACGACCTGATTTTCTGGCGAGATGTGAAGAAAACAGGATTTGTCTTTGGCACCACCTTGATCGTGCTGCTCTCACTGGCCGCCTTCAGTGTCATCAGCGTGGTTTCTTACCTCATCCTGGCTCTTCTCTCTGTCACCATCAGCTTCAGGGTCTACAGGTCTGTCATCCAAGCCGTACAGAAATCAGAAGAAGGACATCCATTCAAGTGAGTTCAAGTGTCTCAGATAACCTGCATGTTAGGAAAGGGCTCCCTGAGGCTGATCAGATGCCGACACCTGACTAAACAAGATTATGGGGCCCGATGCCGCTGCGCTAGCGAATGGCACAGATCATCAGCTTAGAAACCCATGAGAGTGCCTTAGGAAGATGGCTAGGTTGTAAGGCAAGACACTTTTGACAGAGCGGAGACTCACTTCAAGACCAAACGAGGCTCTGAATTCCTGAGCAGGGTAAGGAAAGGGCAGCATTTAGGCCAGCACTCAGTTAAATGGGGTCCTGAGTACTTGTTTAAGCCACCACAGATTTGAATCTTGAAACAACTTTGAACTCTTGCGGTTGAAGCTGTGCTCTTGGTCTGGTGTAGCCTGACTTAGCATTATGGGTACAGAACTCACTACATTTACTATTGGTCTTAGTGCAGTTTTCCTGCTGATTGCGCCTTTAGTTTCTTAATACCAGGGACAAGTCTTCCTCCCTCCCTCCCTCCCTCCCTCCCTATCTATTGTGAAACTCCACAGAGCAAATTCATTTTCCATACAGCAGTTCATACACATTTTGTCTCAGGACATTGACTGCAATTTCCCACAACGTAACAGCTCTCTTCCTACTTCCTCTCCAGTTACCTCTTCCCTGTATCCTTCCCTCCCATGCACTCCCACCCCCCGAGCTGTCTCCCTGTGCAAACAACACCTTTCTGTTCTCCCGTGATTGGTGATTGATCGCTCCAAGTAGTATATCTACCTGATGTAAATGTTCACCCCATGTGCCTGTCTTTTGTTTGGCTGGAAGCCACAGGAGTGAGTCAGTTCCAGACCTGAAGGGTGGCTAGGGGCCATGATCTCAGGGGTCTCACCAGGCTCTATCAGACCAGCAAACCTGGTCTTTTTTTTTTTTATGATTTTGAGTTTTGTTCCACATTGTTCTCTCTCTCTATCCAGGATCTCCTGCACCAAGCCCCCTCCAAGTGGTTGACAATGGTAGCTGGGCACCATCTAGTTCTTCTGGCCTCATGGTGATAATAGGCTGAGGATTGCATGGTATACCAGTCCCTTGGACTAATTGTTTCCATTCATCTTTGGTTTTCTTCATTCTTCCTTGCTCTGGGCGAGGGGAAGATCCATCTTTGCATCTAAAAGGCTACTTGAAAGCTTTTAAAATCCCAGTTGCTACTCACCATAGTAGGATGTGGAACAATGTTTTTGTGTAGTATGTTATGCCAAATGAGCTTGATGTCCCCTGCAACCATGGTTTCGAGCCCACAGGTCCAACTACTTGCTCCCTCCAGATAGCTGGCTGTGGCCTAAAGCCACCACAATCTTGACCCTTGTCAGCTCTAACATACACCTGGACATTTTTATAGCACATACAAATATGCGTGTGAAAACATTGTCTGCTAACCCTATATACATGGTCATGAGCACACTACCCCCTGCCAGACATGCTTTGTTGTTCAGTCAAAAAACATGGTTAGATGCCACACACTAGGTGGCAGTGCCTTAACTGAATGCGTGTTTGCAAAAACTGCAAGGAGGCCACATGTTCTGACCTCCTCTAATCTCACAAGA